AAGTATGACGACTTCAATGAGGAATCTTTGAAAACTACACAGAAATATTTTTTGAATGGACAAAAAAGGTGATGAGCCAAAAAACAAAAATTTGATCAAAATTGCCTAACCAGTGAAAAAAAATGCTGTTTTCTTCGATTACATTATTTTGACGGGCGCCTGAATTCACCGTGATGCCTCGCATATTATATTAATATATAGATCTATCATTCATAGTGCAAATCCAGCTCACAGCAAGTTCTATAGAAGATGCACTTTAGTCTTTACAATGGTCTTATTTTTATAATTTACCCCAGCAGACCTGATAGCATTCTGAAATAATTTCAACTTCTTGGAAAGCTTACAGTGCAAGCTGCCATTTTATAGGCGCGCTAAAACACTAACATTATACTGACAATCTTTTTTGCTGTCTATGGCCGGGTACTCATTCACACCTGGGTGGTGGGTTGTTGGCGGGTGCTCTTGTGTGGTTTGCTTCTTCTTTCCTATGAAACATCTATCGTCCTTTTTATCTCCCCTCTTCTTTTTTATGTTTGTTATCTCTTGTAACACTTCTAATCTTCTGGCGCTCATATGACCTTTTGCAGTTGCGAGCGTCGTATAACCTCTACTAAAACTAAGCTTAAACTAAAACACTTGGGCGAGGGTAGGGTGGGGCTCTCGTGGACTAGAGGTTAAGGTGTTGGCCTCTTATTCAAAGGTCTCGGGTTCGAATCCGACCAAAAAATTTTCTTCTCTAAAATTATCTCCTTTAACCTCCTTTCCTGCTCTCTAGCATTGTTGTGTCGTCTGCTTTCATCTCCTCTGTCTGCCCCCACCTCGTCACCTCCTTTCCCCCCTCCTGTGGGCTCTTGACTCTGTCTGCAGCCTTTCTAGCAGTGTAGAAACATTGGAAATTTATTTTAGTTTCACTTTTGGAAAGATCACCTGGAATGCGTTTCAGGCCTAGGCTAAGAGTTATTGTGTTATGTAGACTATAAATAAAAAGCGGACAGTATTGAGCGGATTAGGTGATTTAGTGTTAATCTGCCTTACATTCTGCAATTTCTTTTCATACTTATTGTGTTGGGTTGTTACACGAAAATGCTTACAACTGGATTGATTTGTATTTGTAATGATTAAAATCTTTTGTAGATTCTGTGAATTGTTTCAGTGCGATACAGAATTTTGCTCTGTTGCAAGTAATACTAATGCACTACAATTGTCTCTGCCTAAGATCCCACTGCTTGCGATCCCAGTTCGCTTTTATTAACTCACTTGAAGCCTATTCCTGTGTGTTACGGGACGCCCCACTGGCCTGGTGGCTTTCAAATCCCGTGTATTTACAGGATGCACTTTTATGACCGATATATACTGTGTTCTTCGGTTAAATGCTACGGGAAGCGGCGAAAAGCCAACAGTTCACCCGCTTGTTTCGTTAAGAATTATGTAAAGTTATGTGTGATACTCTTTTAGCTGTTTTAGCTGTAACGGACTAAGTCAGTCACCCCTGCTTTGCGATAGATGATTTTGTTATAAATTGGGTGCAAAAAAAAATTGGGAAACCCCCAGACATTGCCATTTCAAAATATTGATAAAGTAAAAGCTATTTGGACAAATTAGATGCAGTTTTCTTATTTTTTTATTTTGAGAACATTTATTTCTTTCTCTTGTTGCATATGTATCTTGGAGTACAACTTGACAGCAAGTTCAACCTGAAACAACACACCAACAACCTTGGGAAGAATGCTATGAAGAGACTTAATCTCATCAAACAACTTGCCAGTACCAACTGGGGATCAGACAACACCTTGAGAGGCCTCTATTTGGGATATACCAGAGCTGTTTTTGATTATAATCTTGTTCTACAAAACATTTGCAGTAAAACTTCAAAGAACTCAATGGACACCATCCAAAACCAAGCTCTTCGTCTTATCTCTGGCGGAATGAGATCCTCACCGACTGCGGCCTGTGAAATCCACACAAATATTGAGCCATTAGAAACTCGAAGAAAACGGGCAGCTTTAGAAATATATGAAAGATCTAAAAGGCTAGAAAATAACCACCCTAATAGAGTCCTTGTTGGCAAGTGGAAACCTAATCAAAGACTAAAAAATACAAAATCTGTACTTGACACTGTTTTCAATCTCCAAGAAAAACATCACCTCCCTGAAAGAGGAGAACCTCTGGAAAGAGTTCCCTCCGCGCGCTCATATGACCTTAGCAGTTGCGAGCGCCGTAAACCTTATACTATACTGTACTATACTCAACTCTCCCACCACATCTCACCTTAGCAAAGCCAGAAATTAGGAAAACACTTTTGGACAAGAGCAATAAAAACACATATTCTGTAGCACTAAAACATTCTGCCCTTGAAACAATTGATTCCTATCCACCAACATGGATCCACTAATACACTGATGGATCTGCCTTTAAGGCAACAATCAACGCTGGATATGGGTCAGTGATCAACCTGCCCCGTGGGGAACAAAAAGAAGTCTTCAACTCCAGCGGGTCCTTCTGCTCCAATTTCATTGCCGAACAACAGGCTATCACCAACACAGCAAACTACATCAACTATTTGTTTGACACTAACCCACTTGCTACCACAGACATCGTTATATTTACAGACAGCCTTTCAACACTAGAGACACTTGAGAGTGGGACTGATGTGAACAAAGATATATTGCATTTGATTTGGAGTCTACATAACTTGATAAGTGGGCACCACGTCAGAGTAGTCCTACAATGGATTCCTGCCCACACTGGGATACCGGGAAATGAAAGAGCTGATGCTCTGGCAAAGAAAGGAGCTAGTCTCCCTCAGCCTGAAATTCCTACGAATTACACCACCTGCTGCCAAATGATCAAGTCAAACCTCAAGGAAGAGTGGATGAATGATTGGGCCACAGGTACGACAGGAAGGAGGATGTATGGCCACGTGAATAAACCACTGGTCAAAGATCCAATCAATGAGTTGAGGAGGGGAGATCAATCCATAATCTTCCAACTTACAACACAACATGAACCCTGCAACCAACATCTCAACCGAATTGGAGTAAAGCAGTCTGCTGCCTGCCCACTATTTGACTACCCCTCAGAGACAGTGGAACATCATCTGTTTTTCTGTAGAAAACTAACTGATTTGAGGGGATGTTTTCTTCCCAAGCTACCCCACACATCTAATTGCCTCTACTCCTCAAGACAACAGTTACAACAAACATGCAACTATTACCGAATGGCATCATGCAGAAGAGTTAACGCTCAGATGCTACTGGATCGCTAACAACAACAACAACAACAACATATATGTAAAAAATTATGATAGCTTTCACAGTTTTTTTGTTGTTAACGCTTCAGTATACCCCAAAAGTGTCAGACTGCAATGGTTGTTGAGTGAAAAAAGATCCTGCTGTTTTAAGAAAACAGAATTTTAACTACTCTACAAGTCACCCATAAGATCCCACACTGATTCACTCAAAGGACTATATTCGGCTATGATCCTGCATTTCAGATCATAATTTACGGAACAGAAACTCCGATGGGCACATCTGATCAACCAAGAGTGAAAAATTGAGTTGAGATCATTGAACTGCCGGTTGCGTCAAAGATCAGCCACTCTCGTGAATGTGACCACAGAAGTGTTGTAAAACACGATGAAACAGTACAATGTTTGCCCCAAACGGGATCACACCGATGTGTGAACTGTGGGTGGTTGGCGGGTGCTCTGGTGTGGTTTGCTTCTTCTTTGCTATCAAAACATCTATCATCCTTATCTCCCCTCTTTCTTTTTTATTTTTGTTACTCTTCTTGTAACACCTCTAATCTTCTGGCGCTCATATGACCTCATGCTGTTGTGAGCGCCGAAAAACCTCTGCTAAAACAAAACAAAAGGTGTGAACTGACGGACGCGTTTGTTTTCCCAAACATTGCACTGGCATCTGAGCTCTCCACCTATACTTACATCACTCGCTGGGTGGGTAGGGCCTACAAGTTCGCACCAGGCGGGATCACATCAAACTGTGAACTCTTCCCTGACCACTGCAGCTGTTCTCTCTCTTAGTCTTCCTGCATTTGCGAGACAGATTGAATTTTAATTTGTGTTGTCAAAACGTAATGGTGCATTACGATAAAGGCGGGGGAACTCGGTCAGAGATGGAAAGCTATAAACTGGATAAACGTAGATCTTGAGACTCATGATAGGATGAATGTTGGCATACCTCACACCACTGATTGGTCATCAAGGTTGACCACTCTTTGCTCGTCATATGTCATAAACGCACCCGTTGGTGATGTCAGTTCATTTTAGAGTGGAGGGAGAGAACATTTTGCCGATTGTTGGCCTTTACATGGGTCATCGTGGATTCTTCCCTAGATGCATCGGCTCAGATCCAGTTCGCACAAGGTCTCAAATTTTCCTTGCTCTCTAGCACCGGGATCTTTGGCGGAGACTACAGTGTTTATAATGTTTTGCACAGTTTGTATTTTTTTTCAGGCTTTAGTAATTATGCCTACTTCAAGTCGAATGGTCTTTGCTGTCATAAATTGTCTTACTTATTGTATTTTTATATCTGTTTTAGTAAGTAAACACACTTACATTTTTTTGTATTCAGTGCCCCTAATCCGAGGCCGACGTTCCAGAAGGGACGACCGATGGGCAACAAGAAGCCATCTCCTAGCAGTCAAGATAATCATAATAGTGAGAACCACTTAGAAATGGCCACCCTCTTGAGCAAGCGTAAGTCACATTACAAGGGCATCATTAATTTTTTGTGCTACTGTTACACCAGGGATTAGTTTGGTTTTAGAAAGAGTTTTACAACACTTGAAACATAATTAAGTCATACAAGTGGCGCAAGTGCAGAAGATTAGAGGTGTTACTGGAAAGTAAAGTCTTACATGATCAAAAATCGAATCAGGTTTCTTTCTCTAGCGCTTGCGATGTTGACAGCTCGGCGTTTGCAATCAGAAAGAAAGGGCTCTAGGCTAACTCGCCCGCTGTGTTGTCCCCCCACCCCACCACACCCTGTGGTGCGTTCCATCTGCTTGCGCACCTCACACAGTTCACTCCATCCATCAGTACTGTGACCTCTCCATCCTTGTATCGGAGAAGTGAGAGGCATGGTAGCTAAATCTAGACTAGGCTGGCCTATCACGCAATGCATTCTGCTTGTCTGCGCATGCCACTGACTATAGTGCCTTTAGGCCATTCCCAAAGGGGGGACATTTCTCGTTCATGCACAGTACAATTGTAAATGGACCTAGACTGATTTATCACGTCACGCTCATAACTGCCTGATCTACAACAGGGAACTGCTGCTTTTTCTTTCCTAATGTACATTTTCCTCTACTTCTTTTGAATGTTTGTCACACTCTTGTGACCTGCTATTTTTGGGGTGCCTTGATAGTCGAAGCAGACTTTGTGCTGTTGAAGCTAGAGAGGTGAGCAGAGTAAGTCTGATTCCCTGTAAAGACTTACTTAGTCTGTTGACACCCACCCCTTGGTGTTCATATGACCTTATGCAGTTGGGAGCGCTGTAAAACCCTCTACTAAAACTAAAAAACTAACACCCTCCCCACTCATTCGCTCCAGCCTTCATCGATGGCACACGTGGGGTCTCTCATTCTAGGTTTTGCTAGGTCACCAACAAGTTTCTCAACTTGCGAGGTTTTACATATCATATGTACAAATGGCACAGAAGCAGCAAAATTCCGCTATAACCGACTCGCATGTTTGTCTGTTGCGCTATAGCAGTATTTTATTTACAAAGATAAAGAAGGGGAAAAAGAGGATTTTAGAATAGTATTGTCTTTATAACGGACTTCTCATTATTTCAGGACTCGTTATAAGTGTAGACCTGCATGTTTGCCGACAATCGTCTGAAATCCGACAATCGCGACGCGACCCGCGAGACGGCCGATGCTATCGCTAGGCCCACCTGTATCAGTCAATGTGCGAAGTGCGAGGCCTGGCCAACTGCCAACGTCCCCCTTTTCTCCCGTCGGCTTTGTCGGCACTTTCGTTTTCGTGCCGACATCGGCGTTTCCGACATAATTGTCGGAACCTGAGTAGAAATGCGAATACGAAAAAGGACGACGACCTAAATTATCTACTTTCAGTTTCGTGCTCGAGCGGCCATTTTGAATTTCGTTTTGTTGACAAATTCAATTGTTCAGATCGTGTGGATTCATTCCAGTCCGACTCATTTAGATAATAGAATCTAGATCTAGATCTAGATTTATATAGATCATTATAGACCTGAATGGAGGATTCATATTCCAATTCTATTTTGTCAAACCCTATCATAGGTTGTGCTGTAATATTAATGTTGGTAAAAGGCATTTCATCAGGTGGGTGAATTATTTATTTATTTAGAATCTAGACCAAGTCTAGGCTAGACTCAGCTGAGCCTCTCTGTTCGGAATCGGATGCGGATTTCTAGTTCAAGGCCTATTCCTAGATCTAGATCCTATTCACTTGTTCTACAAGATCTAGATCTAGCTAGATCTAGATTTATTTAGTTTTCTAGAATCTAGATCTAGACGTCTATATGGAGGATTCATATTCCAATTCTAGAATCTATTGTCTATTGTGTTATTGTATCAAACCCTATTATTATATAGATCTAGCAATATGTAGATGTAGGCCATTATGCTCCTTGTAAGCCTTGTTTGTTTTGGAGTGTGGTTTTTTAATTTTAAAAATGTTTTTCATTTTGGACTTATGCTGGCCTTTTCACACGAGGCTCGTTGCAGGTTCTTTTTTGGGGTAGGCCTACGGGTAGGGTTAGGGTTAGGTCTCTTCTTTGTTGTGTTTGTTGGGGTGGTCGCTCGTTACTCGGAAGTCCTTCCTTATGACACCCACAAAAGCTCTTTTGGGGTGGGGGGGGGAGGGGGTGCGCAAAATTTTCAGACAATCTGGTTGAGGCTCACATGCAGGTCTATAAGTGGACTCCACTGTATAACCTTGATCGTTACTGCCTTTGGGGGGTGAACATATTCCACGGGTGAAGAGGGGCATTACCAGTGAAAGGTCATTCCTCTGAATTGTATCTTCCTGTGCTTCCTTTTCCAACTTCTGAATAAGAGTTGTCACAACCTTTTGTTCTTCTGAGAAGTATGGGTATTTTGTCTATTTTGCATTTTTTGCCGGCTTTGAGTGACCCTTATTACTTAATTGAGCTTCTCTATAATGACATTCAATACATCCCTCTCTTGATTTGTGATGTACCAGAGAATTGTTTTCATATATTGAATATTATTTTATCTTCTTAAAATGTTTACAGAGTGGAAAAAAGTTGAGGCTGGTCAGAAGGCAAACAAAGATGGAGGTAAATTATACTGTTTTAATATGATAAAATAAATTACATATTATGCTAAGGCTAAGGTTATCTTGTGGTTTAAGTGTTTCAGTGTTATGTATACTTACACATGATACTCTTAGTAACTTTTTGTTAATTAGTTAATTAGTCAGTAATGCGAGTGGTTTGTACGTGTTATTGTATGATATGCTCATTCTTTTTCTTTATGTTTTTAGTGTTTTAGTGTTGCTAGTGCCCAAATCTTTTTCTTTAGACAAATATTGCCGAATTAAAGGCCCTTTAAAGGACGTGACAACCCGGTGTAAAAAATTAATGGCTTTTTATTCTCAATTTTGTTTTGACAAAGGCTAAGGACCTTAATTAAGGACTTTTCTAAAACTAAAGGCTTGTGGGAACCCTGTGTGAGAGTTGTATACACATTCTCTGCTTCAATCCTTTTTCCTCGCTCGTTTGGTCTGTTTTCCTTCTTTTATATTAAAATCTCCTCAAACAGTACTATTATAATATTCTTTCATCCTTACCTAGCCGTTGCTTCGAGATCTTCTACGAACACTGCTCGCCAGATATTTAGATACATCTCTAGATAGATTCTGAGGTGACTACTTTAAATCTAGATCTAGATCAGATGTAAATTATTATCTTCTAGAATGTTGGCCTTTCTAGGGACATCCCTCTGCATCTCAACTTCTGAACTATCAATCTAGATCTAGATTCTAGCCTGGAAGCACACAGGCGTACGAATATGTAAACAAACAGTCGAAACTAGGTCAACCTTTCGATTGGAAATTTTAATGTACATTCTATGATAAAGTGCATTTCTTGGGATTTTGTGGTTAAATGTTGATGCTAGAAACAATATCTAATTAGTAAAGCACGTAATAATATTAACTTCTTGATAGTTTTGAAGACCTGTGAAGAATTTTGGTCGAAAATGAACACTGTTGAATAGCACGTCTGATGCGTCGTGCAGCCCCACTGATAACAGATGGACCACACAGCAATGCTGCTCAATCACATGTCCTGTATTCTTTTCATTTGCACGGAGAGCGCTATGGAGGTCAGACCTACAGAGGCACACTGGGACCGGCCTTACACTACACACACACACACACACACTCAGTAAAACAATCCGTCAAAATCGTCAACAGTGCTTCTTTTTTTTTCCTCTCCAGTATTTGGAAGGTGATGCCATCACTGTTTGATTAATGTGACTTCCCATCTCTTCTCATTTCAGAGTCACTGTACGAACTATACTTGGAAAAAGATTCTAAAAGTTTAGGAAGTAAGTTTGGCTTATTGAAACTTTTTGGTTTTGAGGTAAACAGAAGAAACTTAAGGGGATCCACTGGTCAGATCAGTAAAAATTTTGAAAAAAATATCAGTTTTAGGATTTTGGAGTATCTTATAGATATCAATATCAAGGATCCATCTTTAGAAGCCTAATTCCTTATCAAACTTAGAAATAGCTGGAAAACGCATTTGAGAAAGGTAGCAATGTAGGAAAATCTTCACCAAAAATTATCTCTCTTTGCAGTTTTCTCAGAATTGTTTATCTGACCAGGTTGCAACACTATATTGAGTAGATCTCAGAAAGTAACTGTCAGAATTGTTTCAAATTTGCACACAATCTTTTATGCACATTTCTCTATAACCTTACAGTAGCATTTTTCTTTTTATGGTACACCTTTGAAATTTTAGGCCTTTTTTATTTTATAAAATCTGAAAATATTGGAGACCTGAATGTAGTGCATAACAAGGACTGTAAGGCTCACAAGTCAGTACAAAAATTTCAAATTTGGCTCTGTAAGGTTGTTCTACCTACCAACAGTAATCGCCATGCCAAATATTAGGCTTCTATCTTGAAGCATGTTGATGATTGACAAAATATAAAATTGGTTTTAAAAATGCTGAATCAATCCTTTATTTTTGATGGCTCGAGATTATCATTGCTAAAATCTTGAATTTTTTGCTTGGTAACCTTTTTTTGTACTATGTCACCCCCTTTGATGCAGAAAAGCAAGCGTTAGACCAAAAACTATAGCATTTGGGTGTTGACCATAGCTACACCCCCTTAACATGAGTCTGGGGGTTTTCCTGGGATTAGTGGAATAATACAATGTGGATTGTTTCAAAAGCACAAGTAGATTGTAGAGGGATGGGTTCAAAAATGACTGGCGTATATACAATCAGGCTCTCAGTTGAGGTGCTGTAGTGATCTGAATACCCATCAGATATAACAATTTAGATAAATGGTCAGCAACATTTTTGGGGGTATTTTTTAAATCTAAATGTTTCTGGGTTTTCCTTTTGTCCTGGGATATGTGTGTTTGTGTGTACAAGTATTTTTATTTTCTCCCTTTTGGCCCCCCTCCTGCTATTTCGGTCTTGTCTGTCTTCCTTGTTTTTTGGGGGGTTTTTTGCAGAAAGGGGCTGTTTATTTTATGGAGATGTTTTTGTTTCCTCACACTGTGTATTTTATGCCAGCCTCTGTAAGCTGCAACATAGAAGATTGTGAATTTGGTCTGCCAGGCAGGAGTTTGAGGGGGTTTGGTTTCATGTGGGGTTAGAATTTTGTTTATCATCTGTCCTCCGCTTCTTCATCTTAGCTGTATGTGGGTGGTTGGCGGGTGCTCTGGTGTGGTTTTTCTATAGTCCTTTTCTCCCCTTTTTCTTGCTTATGTTTGTTACTCTCTTGTAGCACCTCTAATCTTCTGGCGCTCATATGACCTTATGTAATTGCGAGCGCCGTAAAACCTGTACTAGGACAAAGAAATCATTTTTTTGTCCAGAAGGGGGCTGAGCTCTCCCCCCCTGGAAATGACGTATTCTGCCTTAAATTAGTCAGAGATATTTTGTTTCAGGCCTACTTTGATTTCTTTGAATAGCTTGAATATATTAAACGCAGAAAAGACTTAAAAAAGTGTGTGGGTGGTTTGGAAGGGAGGGGGGGGGGGGAGTGTTATTGGCCAGTGCTCACTATTTTGACTGGTCATGTGGGTAGAGTCTCCTTTTTTTTTGTTTGAAAAAGTTGGCTGTTATAGTGTTTTCCAGAGCTTTTCATTTCAACAGTGAACTGCTCATTCTATGTGTTGATGTTTGGGTAGAGTTATTGTGGTTACTGAAAATCGGGGTGCACTGTCAGCTCAGTTGGTCTCTTGCTGGACTACACACTATTCCCAACGGGGCCTTCTGTATGAGTTTTTGGAACATTTTTCAGACTCTTCATCCCTTTGTCTTGGTCCTATCGGATGTTAAAATTGAGAGCACCCAATCGCTAAAGTAACTGTACTGTTTAAACTGACATTTCCAATGACTGAAAAAGTTTGTTGTTTTGCTGTGAAATCAGGTGCTCGTCAAAATTATGAAACCTAAGAAGTTGGGTGGTTGGTGGATGCTCTGGTGTGGTTTGCTTCTTCTTTCCTGTCAAACATCTATCGTCTTTATCTCCCCTCCTTCTTTTTTGTGTTCGTTACTCTCTTGTAACTCCTCTAATCTCCCGCACTTATAAGTTATATGACTTTATTGTGTTGCAAGTGCCGTAGAACACTTGCTTAAAAAACCCCCAAAGAAACCAACATTTTTTTGCGCATCTGGCAATTTTTATAGACTTTTTGTGTGTATAGATTTTATTACAAAATTTTGATCAAAGGCACACAAAAAAATGTGAATTTACAGTTTTCAAGGACGTTACAGCTTTGAAAGTCACCAAACTTTTGCGTCATTTACTCACAAGTTTAACCTGTGACACAAGTTAAGAATGGATGGGTATTTTTTCATCAAAGGCGAGACAAATGAACAAGCTTCAAGATTATACCAAAATGTCCCAAAATTGGCGAGCCCCTGGTTACATCATGTCACAACACTAATGTCAATAACTGGGCTGTTGCAGGGTGATGCTTGTAGTTCCTATCATAAAGTGCTGCGTGCATAGAGCTTGCTGTCAAGTAGGGATATATGCACTTTACAAATGCTATTTATTATTATTACCATTATTATTATTATTATTACTATTATTATTCACAGATTTTCAGCCCTTTGACCTGGAAAACTATTGGGAGAAGAAAACACTAAATAATTACCTGGGCAAGCCAGCCAGCTGAGGAGCCCTTTGAGTGCCTTTTTCTGTGTACAAAGTCAGCATCACAAGTTCATCTGGTCTCAACCCTCTCTCCACCATCGCAAGCTGTCACTGTTTGTGTGTTCGGACTCGGATGGTACATGCTCTGTTTGCGGGTGTGTGAAAGAGAAAGTGTTGTGTATGATTATGTGGTTTTGAGGTTATTGTTTGGTTTGGGTGTGAGCAGTGTACGGATGTGTGAGAGACAGAATGTGTGTGTGTGGGGTTCAGGTGCTAATGTGAGGGTATGACCTGTTATGGTGTGGGTGTATGAGAGAGAGAGTGGGGGCGTTTTGTTCAAGTGTGTGGTTTAGAGGGTATTGTGAGGGTGTGACTTAGTTGAGACAGATGTTTGTTTTTTTCTTGACACTTGTGCGTTACCGAGTAATTAGGGCAAATGTTCACCACATGTTGATTGCCGGCTGTGGATTAGAAAGCAAAAGTGCGGAGTGAGAGATTTTAGATATGGGGGCCATTTTTCTGGCACTGTTTTTCAACGAGAAGTCCCAGAAAATTCCAGACTTGTTTTTTCTTGTGTGCCCATTTTGTTGTATTAATTGGATGTCTGTTTGGGTGTGATCAGAGAAGTTGCAGAGTTCTTGCCAGGTTTAGATGTGGCAGTCCTGTTAATAGACATCGGAGCATAGGGTGATTATGGCACTTACACAGTAGCAACCACGGAAAGTTTGTTAGTTGGAGACATGAACAATTTGGTTTGGCTCTGTCTCCCAGCCCCTATAATTTCTCTCTGTAGTGATGTCATTTTATCTGGTTTACGTAGAAAAATAAACCTTTTCTAATTCTAATCTGTCAAGGATTGATCTTGAAAGAGTTTGAGAGCAGTTTTCAAGCATTCCTTTTTCTCTCTTGGTGAAAGTACACGCGCATAGTGTAAAACATTGTTTACTGTAATAATGATTACCCTCCTAAATTTCTGATTTGAATCTCACAACTGGCCACATTGCTTCCAACACCTTTGGTAAGACATAAAGATTTGCCTGTAAGACATAAAAACTTACCAGTTACCTGGGGTTCCATACCACAAGTCATTTACTGGCGTCGTGTGGCAGTGTGTTGCTGAAAGATAGACTGACTGAAAGAAAAAGCCATTGTTTATTCCAGGGTCCATATTGTGTCGTCAGTGTGTGTGTATGTGTGTGTGCTACTGTGTTGTGTGTTTGTTGCAGAGTCGGAGCACACTCGGAATGAGCCTGGTGTGACTGATGTTTCGCTGTGTCGGGTTGGTTCCTGATTTGTGCCATGTGTCCGTTTTGAGGCAGACATTTTGATGAATGGTTAGTAGATATATATATATATACCAGTAAGGAAGTCAGTGTGGAAAAAGCTCATGTCTGTCTGCGTCGGCAAGTGTTGGTGCCGGCATGCCCACTTTATGTGCTGGACAATGGATGTGAGAAGCATAATGTTACAATTTAGGGTGGCTTGGTTGGTTGTGGCATACTTTCTGTGCTAAACTAGATTCTTGTTGTTATATGATGCCAGGATATTTTTCCATAATGCTAAAAAAAGTTTTTAAATTTGAGATGAATTAAATTTTTAGTTGTTTTTAAACATGATAGTACCATACTGTTTTATGTTACAAGAATTAGGACTTTCGGTAAACACTCTGGATACTTGTTTTTGTGATTTGAATGATAGAAAAAGGGGAATGGGGTTGGAGAGTGGCCGAGTGTGAGAAAGTACCTACTGGTACTGGCACTGTGTGTGTGGTACACCTGCGTGCATGGAGTTAGTGGTACGTTCTGTCAGTGTGCTGCAATAATGTCACGTTAGACATGGACCAATGTCAAAACTGACCCACTATGTCATTCCTTATACTTGTACAGAGGCTGACCAACTTGCCATGAAGTGATGTAGATATGAATAAGGAGTGTGTCATGGTGCTGTGGAATCAGGCGCTTGTCAAATTTTGGGCATATGGAGAACTTATTTGTATAATCTGCTTGTTCGTTTGTCTTGCTTTTGAGTAAAAAGTACCCATCTATCTTGAATAGAAATCGAGATATTTGAGATTGAAGGAGGCAGGAGTCTCTTGGTGTCAGAGGTAAAATTAGCGAGAGTTGGCTGCCAAAGTTGGGTGACTTTCAAAGCTTGAAGGTCCTTGGAAACTGCAAATTGATGTTTTTTTGTGCCTTTCATCAACATTTTTCAGTAAAATTCACACTGAATATTTGAATTGACATAAAAGGTGTCAAACTGATAAATATTATCTTATGGGCGGTAAAATGTCAGTTTCTTTGTTTTCATTATTTTGACGAATGCCTGATTTCACCACGATGCCACACAAACGGTTATGTCCAGCATCAGAAAGTTGTGCAACAAAGAAGTTTTCTGGCTTTGCTCTGTAGCCTACTTTTTGACAGTGATAAATGGCTTAAAGTAAGCAGGGGTCTAGGGGTCTCAAACTAGTGACCCGTGGCCCAATCAAGGCGGGCTGGGGGATATTTTTGTGGCCTCAACTTGGCATCAAAGTTAAGTGTTAATGCGGCCTGCATGCTTCTCTCACACACCAAATGTCGCTGATATATATATTTTTAGTAGCGCTGCCAGTTCTCTGGCAGCAAGAAGATACGAGAAGCAATTGATCTGAAGAACCGTCCATTTTCTGAACAGCTATCAATGAAGACAGAGAAGATTTGTTAGATCAGTTGTACTTTTTTAAAAATACTGAAAACACCCTTCTCCTTTTTAAAAAAAAATACTTGATGCGGTCTAGGGTCACCCACTCTACATCCAGCATCCCTTGGATAATGTGAGTTTTGAGGGCTTTGACTTGGAGGATTATGATAGCGGTATTCTATGTGAAATAGGGAACAGATTTGGAAGCGGTCATGTTTTTTAGTTCTATTATTATTATCAAGTGGCTGGCTTTGGGAACCCGATGTTGCTGTATCTTATGTATATAGTGCACCAATAATGAAAAAGTTTTCTCGCATCCCCTGTTGGCTTTACAAGAAACGAATGTTTTAAAATGAATTACAGTGTCTGAAGGTGTCATAATGGCTGACAAGTATTTTTAAGCACCAATAGATGAGTGACCGTTTGATGCCTGTGAGTGTGCTCACGTATGTTTTCATACATGATCAATATTTATTTTCAAGGTGAAAAAAAAAAAAGAGATGGTATTTTTCTTCTTTTTTTTTGTGGTTGCCTTGATTATATCTTGATTGTTCCGGCCGTTGCCTTATGTCCTTGTTCGTTGCTTATGATATTGTGGGTATAGTGGGTACGAGTTGAGCTCTTGTGTGGTGAGGTAGAAACCGAATGTCATTTCACACAGAGTGTCTGACTCTCTCTGAGGCAGCTGCTTGTAAAGGGTATTGCAAAAGTTGTTTTTCAGGTCGGATTCAGATTAAAATTTTTTTTTTAAACTTTTTTTTCTTTTTGTTAATGTTGACACATTTGCTGATTACAAAAGTTGTTTTATCAGAAGCCATCATAAAAGTCAACCTTACAGTAACTATTTTTCCCTACTTTTTAGAATAATTAATTTCGACTCCTTGCTGATTACTGAATGAATAAGTCATGATGCTTTGGCCTTTCAAGAGAAAGGGGGAAAAAATGTCCATACATGCATTCAATATATCACACACCTCGGTGCTCTCTTGTCCTATCTCAATTTTTATTAGCGATGAAAACAGTTCATAACAAAAGAATGAGAGTAAGAAGTCACATTATCAATGAAAAAAAAAAAAAAAATGGAGATAGGTCAAGAAAACACTGAGGTCGCGATACTATGGAAACGAAAATTCCCGTGGACTACTTTTGGCTCCTGAAGTGTCATAGTCATACTATAATGATTGTCATGTATTTTCAGCTCTTCACAGTCCCCCTACATTTTTCTGTCGTGAAATCGACTTTTGCTCCACCCTGCTTTAGTGAGCTGGTGTGAAGATCTGTCTGTTGTGAGTGTTGTTGTGGCATCAGTCTTGGTGTCTGAATGATCTGATGGGGTGGATCGGAATAAAGAATGATTATGATTGAATGATCATCCCACTTGTCTTTGACTTCATACTGTTGTGGTGGAGGGCATTTTTTGTTTTGATCCTGCTTTTTCTTCTTTCTTTTAAAAAAAATTAACTCTCAATTGTTTTTGTCTGTCTGTGTTACTCTGTGGGCGTGGGTGGTTGGCAGGTGCTCTGGTGTGGTTTGCTCCTTCTTTCCTACCAAACATCTTTTGTCCGTAAATCTCTCCTCCTTTTTATGTGTTTCTTCAGCTTTTATAGATTTATGTTGCAAGGGCATTAAAATTAGAACTGTTACTAAATTTAAAACTTATACTATTTATCTGTAGTCTATTTGTCTTGGGGGGGTGCCTCTGTTAGGTCCATGGGTGGTTGGCGGGTGCTCTGGTGTGGTTTGCTTCTTCATTCCTATCAAATGTCTATCGTCTTTATCTTCCCTCCTTCTTTTTAATTTGTTACTGTCTTGTAACACCTCTAATATTCGGCACTTATATGTGTATAACCTTATTGTGTTGCAAGTGCCGTAAAACTCTTACGAAAGCTAAAACTTGGTTAGGTCCTACTTTTCTTGTCTTAAATGTACCAGCAGTGCTCGTCAGAGGGCGCCACTGGTGGGTCCTACTTCTTTACTTTCCCTCTGTTGTTTCTGTCAGACAGTCTTACTTTTTTCTATCTGTTAATGACCAATATTGTGTCGACGTGCGTTCTTTTCTACTCAAAAGTTTTTAAAAATTGTCAACACCCACTTTTGCCACCTTTGAGATGCTAAAATTTTCATACCCTAAACCTTCATTGTATTATCAATCGGAGCATCAATTGATACCCATCATTACCAATGTGATCTCCACCACTTACTACAACATTACCAGTGGGTGGTTGGCGGGTTCTCTGGTGTGGCTTGCTCCTTCTTTCCTATCAAACAACTATCGTCTTTATCTCTCCTTCTTTTTTGTTTGTTACTCTCTTGTGACACCTCTAATCTTTGGCACTTATACGACCTAATTGTGTTGCAAGTGCGGTATAACGTGTACTAAAACAAAACATTTCCAGATCACCCTCAAGGGAAGGCTGAAAAGTAAATAAATCAAATAAATACTTGCTATGCCGTAACTTTTTTATGTACATGTATGGTTTATTATATATATATACATAGTAGAATAAAGAACAGGGTGTCCAGCAAAGTCGTAAAGTCGTAAAAAAGTCGTAAATTCGGCGCTCTGGTCGTAAAGGTCGCTATTGTGATATAATATTCGTTCTCCTTTTCCCCGTCCGAGAGTACGTTTCACGCAAAAAGCCAGTTATGGCGGCAGGCGAAAGTGTGCGTGACACCGAGGCTCGATCGGGAAAATCAAGATCTACTTTCGCTTTCAGAAATAAGCCGGTGATAGACTGATAACTAACGCAACATTTGT